GGTTTTAAAGATTCAGGAGTAAGAATTTGACTTTAACAAATTATTAAAAGTTCTCATCTGTGTTATCTTATATATTATTTTTTTTTAAAAAGTCTTATTCTTTGAAAGACTGAGATCAGCTAAAGGAGGTTAAGCCCTCAACAACACACCAGAGGTTTTAAAGATTCAAGAGTAAGAATTTGACTCTCAAAATGTCATTATATCTCTCATCTGTGTCATCTTATAAATAATTTTTTCAAAAAGTCTTAAGTCTTTGAAAGACTCTGGTCCTCTGGGACTCCAACCCAGAACCCTCTGGCAGAAGCCCGAAGCCTTGTTATCTACCCAGATCTCTAGATAAAGGCAGAAAACTGCAGAACGTCACGATGTCACAGGTCAAAGGTCGAACCCTAAACTCTCTCTCTCTCCCGTCTCCGCGGCGACAGGCTCCTGCTTCTGGGTGGCCAGAACCCTCTGGCAGAAAGCCAAACCCTAACCCTAACCCTAACCAAGACAGTCGAACCGAACGGTTCGGACGGTTTTCAGAAACCGTCCCATCCCTAAAAGGCAGAAAAACTGCAGCGCGTCACGATGTCACAGGTCATAGGTCGAACCCTAAACTCTCTCTCTCCTGTCTCCGTGGCAACAGGCTCCTGCTTCTGGGTGGCCAGAACCCTCTGTCAGAAGCCCAAACCCTGGTTATTAAACTACTCAGTTATTAAACTACTCAGCTCCCCAGAGATCTAGACAACAAAGTCAGAACTGCAGCGCGTCATGATGTCACAGGTCAAAGGTCAAACCCTAAAGTTTTTCTCTGGTCCTGGTTCCCCCGGGGACTCAAACCCAGAACCCTCTGGGACTAGAACCCAGAAACCTTTGGGACTCTAACCCAGAACCCTCTGGCAGAAAGCCAAAATCTCGTTAGCAAACTACTCAGCTCCCCAGATATCTGTATAACAAAGTCAGAACTGCAGCGCGTCATGAGCTCAAAGGTCGAACCCTAAACTCTCTCTCTCTCTCTCTCCCGTTTCCGCGGCGACAGGCTCCTGCTTCTGGGTGGCAGAAAGCCAAACCCTGGTTATTAAACTACTCAGTTTTTAAACTACTCAGTTATTAAACTACTCATCTCCCACCGATCTCGACCCAGATCAGAGCGTCACGATGTCACAGGTCATAGGTCGAACCCTAAACTCTCTCTCTCTCCCGTTGCCGCGGCGACAGGCTCCTGCTTCTGGGTAGCCAGAACCCTCTGTCAGAAGCCCAAACCCTGGTTATCAAACCACTCAGCTCCCACTGATCCCGACACAGAGATCAGGCAGAACTGCAGAGAGTCACGATGTCACAGGTCGAAGGTCGAACCCTTAACACTCTCTCTCCCTCTCTCTCTCTCTCTGTCTCTCCCGTTTCCGCGGCGACAGGCTCCTGCTTCTGGGTGGCAGAAAGCCAAACCCTGGTTATTAAACTACTCAGTTTTTAAACTACTCAGTTATTAAACTACTCATCTCCCACCGATCTCGACCCAGATCAGAGCGTCACGATGTCACAGGTCATAGGTCGAACCCTAAACTCTCTCTCTCTCTCTCTCTCCCTCCCTCTCTCTCCCGTTGCCGCGGCGACAGGCTCCTGCTTCTGGGTGGCCCTCCTGGAGGGGCGCGTGGTGGGCCTGGTGGCGGCGCGGGCCCTGGAGGA